GGTATACTCTGTTAGGTGGAGTAGATTTTGAGCCTATTAGAAACTTGTTAAAAGTTGAGTGCATAAACTGATGAGTTGCGATTCAGTTTTATGTTTTGCTTCATATGATACCAAACTTGAATAGGAGGTAAGAAATTCTTGAATCAATCAAATTTAAATCTTATCATAAACCCGAATTTTTAAGCTATACCAATAAAAATAGAGGTTAGACTGAAATATCCCTTATTCTAAAGAATGCACTCCCGACCGAAAGCTGCTTTCTTGACGTGGTGGTCGGGCTTGAACACCGCAATGACCTGATCAAGCTATACTGGCTGAGACTTATGTCTCTTGAGGTCTACCATGCCAGGCAGGTTGTTTGGATAGCGGTTAAACAAAAAGCAGCTACCCAATCCAACATCATGATAATACAAAATCACAAAATTTCATGCCGGATCGGCCGTGGCCCGGATTAACAACGACCGCGCTTCCTGCTGCCGTGTCACAGGGCAGGAGTGATAAATATGCTACTGAGGCACACCAAACAAAAAAGAACAAACAAAAACAGGCCGCGTGTGACCGGCCTCAAGCAGTTGTCCCCTGGGCTCTGCGGTCACGCAACCAACTTCCACGGTGTGGGCAGCCGGGAAGTAACAATCGCCCTCACAATCCGAAATGCACGCGAAACCTCTCTATTACTCACTCATCTTTGTCTTCATCTTCATCTCTATCATCTTGCCTTCCTTCCACTGATGCAACTCCTCGACTTGATAGCTCTCCACTTCCTCTCCACTCTGCGTCCACTAAAAACGATGGAAGCCAAAAAACCACCACCGACAGCCTCTTAAAGCCGCGCCACCAATTTCATATAGGAGCTCTTAATGTTAGGACACTTTGCCAAATAGGACAACAAGCATCACTAGCCAAGACCCTGGCATCACGAGCCATTGATGTATGCTGTGTTTCAGAAACACGCATACAAGACCCAAGTGTGGTTATTCACCTAACCCCACCTGGCCAACAGGTTGAATCTGCAAAATTCACCCTGAGGGTGTCAGGAGATGCCACAGCTAGTTCACGAGGATTAGCTGGCGTAGGGATAGCTTTGAGTACTAGGGCAGAAAAGACATTGCTTGACTGGATCCCGGTAGATAGCCGAATGTGTGCTGTCCGCCTGAACGGATCAGTAAGAAGGAGGAAGGACTGCACTACTCGCCGATGCCTTTTCGTAATCTCCGCCTACGCCCCCACTGACTGCAGTTCAGATGAAACGAAGGATGAGTTCTACCAAAAGCTGTCTAGTTTGGTGCGAAAGGCTAAACGCTCAGACATAGTCGTTCTAGCTGGTGACTTTAACGCTCAAGTAGGGAAATTGTGTCAATCTGAGAAGGATGTCGGTGGCACCTATGGAGTTCCGTGCCAGCGAACCGACAACGGTGACCGTCTCCTACAGTTCTGCTCTGATAATCATTTGTTTCTTGTAAGCACTAACTTCAAACACAAGGAGAGACACTGTTTGACTTGGAGACCCCCTTCATCAAACCAACGCTGGACACAAATAGACCACATAGCAATAAGCTATCGTTGGCGTGGGTCGGTAGGAGATTGTCGCTCCTTCTGGAACACGTGCGTAGATACCGACCATGCACTGGTCCGCGCTCGGGTGTGCTTACGACTGAACGGACGTAGGAAACAGCTGGCGGTAAAACCATCACGTCCCCAGCTCGATCAGGAAACTAAATCCGTATTTGAGGAAGAACTAGCTAAACACATATCTGTGTTCGACAGCTGTGCTCACCCTGAAGAAGCTTGGAAAAATATCCAGGCAGCCATAGATACAGCTGTAAAAGCTGTGAATAAGGTAAACCCAAAGGTGAGTAAAAACCACTGGATCTCCACCGCCTCATCCGAACTGATAGATGCTAGAAGACTTATTCCGGCGAGCTCCGAATTCAATGAGGAGCGAAAGCTGCACAAGAGGAAACTTACGAAAAGTCTCCGCAAGGACCGTGAACAGTGGTGGGCGACAAAAGCCAAAGAGATGGAGAAAGCTTCGAGGATAGGCAACACCAGGCAACTCTTTGGACTCATCAGGGAAACGGGTGGGAGAAGACAAATCATCAGTGAGACAATCTCGGAAAAAAATGGCACTATAATTAGCTCCAGGATAGACGACTGGATCGTTGGAAAGAGCATTATGAGGAGCAGTTTAATTTGCCCACAGCCACGCTCAACCTTCCGAGCATCCAACACCTCCCTGAATGGGATATAGACACAGGTCCTCCGTCACTAACTGAGGTTACTAAAGCTGTCACCAATCTGAAACTAGGCAAAGCAGCGGGACCTGATGGAATGACTCCAGAGGTATTTAAGTACGGTGGAGACAGCTTACTGTCTGGATTAACTGAGGTACTAGGCAGCGTCTGGGAATCAGAAGAAGTCCCATCGGGTTGGTGTAAGTCACTGATTATCCCCATATACAAGAAGGGAGACAAGTCTTCCTGTGATAATCACAGAGGGATTAGCTTGACTAATATAGTATCTAAAGTCTTAGGCTCAATAATCATGCGTAGACTGAGTGGTGCTCGGGAAGCACAAACACGAGAGAGCCAGGCAGGCTTTAGACCAGGAAGAGGGTGTATTGATCATATCTTCACCCTCCGACAGATTCTAGAACATAGGCATTCCTACCGGCGTCCAACAGTCATTATATTTCTTGACCTAAAGGCAGCATTCGACTCTGTCGATCGGAAGTTCTCTGGAGATGCTTGGCTGTAAAGGGAATTCCGAGAAAATATATTGCACTGATTAAGGCACTCTACTCGTACTCATACAGCCAGGTGAGGGCTTACGGCGAGCTGTCATCTGAACTGATGACGACCAGTGGTGTCCGTCAAGGATGCCCATTATCTCCTTTTCTATTCAACTTCATCATAGATGTGTTAATGGACTTAACCCTAGGTGACTTCAGCGACTCAGGGATTGACTTGCTACCGGGAATAATCTCGTTGACTTGGAATATGCAGACGATATAGTCCTTCTAGGCGAAGACGCTGACGAAATGCAGAGTCTTCTAAACACCTTGAGCCGCAATCTACGAATGTTTGGCATGCGATTCGCTCCCGCCAAATGCAAGATGATGTTACAGGACTGGACTACATCGACGCCTAGTTTAAAAATAGGAAGTGAAGTGGTAGAGCACGTTGACCGCTTCACTTATTTGGGAAGTACCATCAGCCCCAACGGGCTGATCTCTGACGAAATCTCAGCACGAATACAAGGGGCTCGTTTCGCATTTGTTAGTTTACGCCGACTCTGGCGTAGACGAGATGTTCGACTATCGACCAAAGGGCGGGTGTACTGCTCATCAGTCCGCTCCGTCCTCCTTTATGGTTGTGAGACCTGGCCACTGAGAGTGGAAGACATGAAAAGACTAGCTGTCTTTGATCATAGGTGCCTGCGTTCTATTTCCCGTGTAAAGTGGCATAATAAGGTGAGCAACATTGAGGTTAGGCGTAGAGTTCTAGGTAAACAGGGGAAATCAATCGACGAAGTCGTGAAGCTACAAAGACTGAGATGGTTAGGACATGTGTTACGTATGCCAAGCCATCGCCTCCCTCGACGAGCAATGTTAGCGGATATAGGGTCAGGCTGGAAAAAAGCTAGCGGCGGTCAAACAAAAACTTGGCACCAGTCAATGAAATCCACAACAGTTGGTCTAAGCCACGTAGGAAGGTGTAGACTTCCAGGCTGGGGTCCTCGGGACGGTAAAAATCTATGGTTGGAAACAATTGGTGACATGGCTCAAAATCGTTCTCAGTGGCGCAGATGCATCCACTCCTGTGACTTATGATCTCCAATGAAACTGTTTTGTTCTTCGTTATTACTCCTTTGTCTCACACCTCTGCTCACTGTTTCTATTATGCTTTTCTTGTACTTTCTTCTCTTGCTTCGCGTGCTACACGGAATGTGGCGACTTGAACTTCCGCACATTTGTGCAAAGTTCTATGTCGAAAACAGACAGAAAGAATGCACTTGTGACTTAGTATCTGAAGCATATCTCTGAATACATTACTGCTGATCCTGACTCTGCTGTAATTTGAAGTAGGTCACACGACTTGACTTTCCTTTTGGGTTTATCAGCTAAAATGACAAGGGGCAGTGGGACAGACTAATTTAATGAGTCTGAATATCCCCTTCCATCCTAAATAAAATGTGTTGAATAAGATAATAGAGAAGAAATCTCTATTCGCTAACATTTGGTTGTATAGCGGATATTTGTTATAGACTTCAAACTGGATTACACGACTGTCATTCTGATTTAATCCAATTCTCATTGAACGTAGGCAGGAAAAAAACTACCAAACTAACTAATTATAAAAACGAAGATCTCTAAATACAACAACAACAAAAAAACAATCCGCCAAGAGAAAACGAAAAAGCACATGTTTTTGTCAATTTGAGAACAAAATCCAAGTCGACTTTATTTCATCTCTTAATAGTCACCACTCAATGTTTATCATAAAATCCGCCTACATATTGACAAACAAAATTTGTTCATTAAAACACAAAATATTAAATCATTGAAAATGCAATATTAACTTTGTATTTTGCATTTTTAAGCTGTATTTCTGTGCATATACATTTAAAGTAAATTAAAGAAGTAGATATGATTGTGTACAAAATGAAATTTCGGTTTTAGCATTTATTCCTTTTAAAAAATAGACGAAATTAATACAGATAATAAATTATTCATGCGCGGAAAACATTCAAAATATTTAGACGAAAAAAAGATGAATATTGAAACAAATTGCAAAACATCGAAGCTAAGTGATCAAAACATTGTTTTTACTCCGAATGATAGAAAAATGGAACAAGTCAGAAATATGTATTCGAAGCCACAATCAATAACTCGGGTGTGGAATAGGTACACATGTAAGTCTGTGTGTGTGTGTTTGAGTGACTGCGTGTTTGTGTTTATTGACGGGGGCGCACATAAACATGTGGAGAAATTAGATGGCTCAAACTGTGTACTCGAAACTGTAATAAAAAAGGTAGAAATATATGTAGAGAGAGAACGACTGTACGAAATAAACAATGTTTCTTTTTTGGATCAAACTGAATAATCAAGAATCGAATTTCTATGATTGAACAATGACTCCTGATATATACTACTGGCTGATAGACTGACTGCGCTTCGGTAGCACAGCGGTTAGGACGTTCGCCGACCATGCACATTGCTCGGCGTTCAACCCCCGGCCACAGGCGCACTCCTTTACCTCGCTAAAGTCAGTAATAAGACTGGTAAAGAGGAAAGGTTGGGCATGAGGCTAGCAACCTCATCCCGTAAAAATAATCACCACTGCTACCGAAACTTCAAGCCTCTAGCTTGGAGTCCTATGTTCCACTTGGAACGTGAGGGAACAAAAAAGAAAATAGATTGACTGATATGAGTAGGCAGATACCACTCACCATAACCAAAAATGCTTGCTAATGAGATCGTAGTGATATAACTAAACACCGGAAGGAAGTTTTACTCGTATTAAGCTGAGCTAATCAGCCGTGTACTCAGTTTGAATCACCTCAGAGAGTCAAATCAGTTCAAACCACCTGAATTCTGATTATCAACTTGAGTGAATTGGCAATGCCTGGAATCAGATTCGCAGTTTGAAAATTACTCATTTCAATGTGAAATTTCATCACATTCTCATTTGGATACCGAAATAGACATGATCTACTTGAAACCATAAATGGCAGTCACGTTAGCAAGCATCAGTGCTAAGAAAAAAGCGTATGGAGATGTCAATGTCTGTTATAGGGATTCAGTTTTGTCCTACAGGTTGTTCTACAGTGAGCTAGTGAATCACATTTCCCTTCTAACAAAAGATATAACTGACACTTACTACTCTTATATTCAAAAGTAATCTGATTTCAGTGTTTGCTCATGATAACCTCAAGATAATCTCGTCAGTCTGATTGACAGTAAACGGCATCTTGAAGAGTCACTCTGAATCTGAAGTAAGTAGGTATATATGACGTGAAAACTTTAAAATTCCTCAGAGTCACAAAAGAGGTTGGAGCAGAACATTTCAGTGATAGGTGCTGTGAATGTCATGATAACTATATCATTTTGTATTTGATATTTAAACGTTCATTTTAAACTTTTCATTTCATCCTTTGAATGGTATCTTAACTATCCGTGAGAACAGGCTGGAGAAAATAATTTCTAAAGTTTAAGCTGTGTAGAACGTCCAGAGCTTCTGAATACATTTACCATTTCACAAGTGTAAGAAATCTTCATTTTGTCAGTTGAATAACGACTTTTAATATCAACTGATAAAGTGATCACAATAAGTAGTACTTTTCAACACGAAGCTATATCTAGTGAATGATTATTGTATTTTAAACCGAGCGAATACTTATGTCACTAAGATTACAATCTCGCGGTTATGTAAGCAAAGTCTATGTGGAAAAATTGCAGAATTATAAGGTATCACGATACGCACACTATTTCTATTCAAATACAAGGTTTGGGATGCACTAAGCTTAACTTCTCAAATTCTGTTAGTTTACTTGAAAATCTTTTGTTGAAAGCTATTTTTATTTCAAATATTTTTTTCAATATCATCAAACTATTTCGACTGCACACTAGTAACTAGTGTGATGTGTCTAGTCCTTTGATTGGTGCAGACTGGATTCTATCAGTCAAGTTTGCAATATGGACACCATTCTAGGTAGCTCCACATCACGGTGCACATTGATTTGAATATCTTAGATGGTTGGAGGCAATCTGCAGGAAGACTTGAAGTATGCGCTGAAGATCTCACCTAGTAGGATGATGAAAGCTACGCAAATTAAATATCCAGCTCAGAGAACACAACCACATCAAAATCATCCACCTGAGCTACAAATCTTCTTTATCATATCTAGACTTGGACCTATGTTTTGTGCTAGTTGGCACTCACCAGTCAGCAAGGCGGATCTGCAACATTGAGGGAACTGATGTCCCTCCTGAGATTCGAACCCACGTCAGAAGGGACATGAGTTCCTTGCTGACGCGAGCCAACTAGCACGAAAGCTGGGTCCAAGGCTTGCTGCCGATTGCCTCCAACCATTTAATATCATCATCAAACTATTTAGAATTCTATCAGCTCCAAAAAAGAAATAAAATATACTCATGTAGGACGAAGAATATGGGGAACAATTCACTTTTATTGATAGTTGAATTACTATAAGCGGTGTAATCGATAATACAAAGAGACATTATTGAAAAAAGCTATGACTTCTTATAGCTTGGAAGCTGATTCATAAAAAGTCATGTAAATACTAACTGCATAGTCCAAATTAAATAAACTAGAAAAGGCAATCACAAAGTAAAGTTTACCGGAAGCGCGCTTTTTTGACTATGAATTCACTTAAACGATTTGATTGAGATAACACAATGCAGTGAAATGGTTTATATATACTAAATATAATATAATATCAAGATCAGATTTCAAACAAAAGAAACCCAGTGAACTCACCATTGTTTTGATTCCGATGACAATGAATGTTTACTTTTAGAAGTAACATTGTTATAAAGAAGATTGTTCTTAATTTCCGGCTTCCGTGGCGGTTTACTCGGTGCGTTTGGGTGTCTCAAAGAGTTTGAATTTGTAGTAATCTGTTGGAACACTGGTGATGGCGGTTTTCTCAGTGATACGGATGATGACAGTGGTGGTAGGTTTTCACGTTCACGATGCAAAACTGTGTCAGGTGTTCGTGTTTTCGTCACTGGTGAATTAGTGGATACATTTGCACGAGAAGGTCCATCATTGAAAAATTCCTGTCTAACTTGTTCTCTTTCTTGCATTAAACGCTCACGTTTAACACGTTTATCTTCAATGACTTCACGTTTTGCAAAACTTGGTCTAGAATTAAATCGTTTACTCGGTACTCGACGGAAACTTGGTTTATTACTAACTGTTTGTGGTACATTAGATTTGCCATGAATAGGTGATATCTGACTAGAAGAAGGTGTCACATTAGCAGGTGACATTGCAGGTGAAGATGGTACGCTAGGTGTAGTCGGTTTTTTGCGTTTACGAAAACTACTACTTCCAAACATATTCAAGTTATGCAGCTGATATTCAGTATTGAATGATGGATGAAAACGTGAACGTAGTCGGAATAATTGTTTCTTTTTTGGTTCAACTGGTGCACGATCTGTTAGTCGGAAGAAAGCATGATGTTCTACAGCACTTTTCCATAAGATTTTACACATTTTATCATTTGGTAAAACAAAACAGAATGCATGTTCTGTAACTTTGCGCTAAAATTATGTGTTTAAATGCAAAAGAAAAGTAAAAGCAAACGTGTTTACTTCACAACGAGATTTCGAAATAATACATACATGGTAGTGCATGCCAGACTTTGATTTAAAATCCATATCAGAATACTACGGAAATAAACAAAAGCAATAGCATTACTCAGACTAACCGTGAGTCTGTACTTATCTGTTCTTAACATAAGGTTTATTCAAAGCCTTTAGACTTTCTATTTTGACATCATTTATATTTACTCATCTTAGTGAATACGAATATTGAAGATGGAAATTAATTGGTCTTCGGGAATAAGCATTAACGATGGCCTGCTTAAAACTTGAGCTACCAAAAACGTCCATCAATATATTGAGCATAGTTTCTGTTATTCGGTTAGCTTAAATCTAGTAAGAGATGACCTTGTTTTTCCTTCACGTTCCTAGTGGGACATAGGGCGGCTTCAAGCTAGTGGCTTGAAGTTTCTGTAGCAGTGGTGTTTATTTTTACACGATGGGGTCGCTAGCCAGCCTCATGCCCAACCTTTCCTCTTTACCAGCATTATTTGTGGCTTAGCGAGGTAAAGGAGTGCGTCTGTGGCCGGGACTCGAACCCCGGACCATGTGCATGGTCGGTGAGGATCCTAACTGCTCTGCCACCGACGCCTGAACCAAAAGCTTTAGAGATCACATATTAGTCAAGATAATCCGCCCATGATCATCACAAGAAAATTTGTCTGCCTTCTTTTACACTGGGATAATCAATGAATTACATCGGTCTCTCATTCCCAGAAGTTGCTTAATATACCTTAGTTAGCCTAGACAGTAATCTATTACCAAGACCGTCGTTTAAACATCACGTCCTGTTACTTCTACCTTGTTTCAAATTAGATATAGTCTCTGTAACCTCAGTTACACATATGGAGGACTACTATCTACATCCCATTCAGCTGAGCTTGGGTGTCGTCCTCAAAATGCTTCCTTCAATGTTGTCTATCTCTTGAAAGGTAACTCGGGAGCAGTTTTCTAGGAAATTGTCACGTTTCAGTAAATCGAGCTTTTTTGATGCCCCATGACTTGCTGATTAAAACTAAATCAGAGCTCCTTTAGAATACACTGAAAGCCTGGAGAAAACCAGAAAAAAACAGAACCTGAACGTTTCAGCATTGCATAAAAGATGACCTTAAATAGTATTAATATATGTGTAGAACTTGGGCACTGTGGTAGTAAGTAACTCCATATTAGTTGGTTTATTAGATATGTCACACAGTAAGACAGTATTATCACTAACTGGATGACAAAGGTTCGAATACAATGTATTTTGTTCATGAACTTATCAATTATAATCACACGAATTCAAAATTTGAGTTTGTAGGGAAACGTAAGAATAAAATTAATAATAATGGTAATGATGGTGATAGTAATAAAATTAATGACGATATGCATGTCAAATATGCAAAGAGTAAAGACAACACCAACAAGGGTAAATTTAAATCATCAGTAATACTTCCATACAAAGAAGGAACCTCGGAAACTTCACAGAGAATTGTTAACAATGAAGGAATAAAAATGGCATTCAGACCCATAGACTCAATTAGAAACAAGCTTTGTCAGTTAAAAGATCAATCCTGTGGAGCCTTTAAAACAAAACAATTTAGTTTGCCTAATACCCTGCTGGAATGATTTTCAGGTCAAATACATAGGTCAAAGTAGTAGAACAGGGGCAGTCAGACTAGCCAAGCATAAGAACCTGGCAAAATCTAGACTAGTTGACCCGAATGAGATAAAAAAATCTAGAGAATGGTTCAGCTATAGCAATACATGCAATTACACATAACCATGCAGTAGGATGGGATAAGATGACAGTTTTAAAATCTAATCTCACAGGGTGTAGGGAGGGAGAGATTGATAACAGAAGCTTTGTTTATCGAATCGACTACAAATACACGTAATAGGAATGATTCAACACCTGTCCCAGACATCTGGAAAATTCTACTACCTCTACGACAAATAGTACAGAACAAAGAAAACTATGAAACTCAAATTTCGAAGTCGTGTGATTATAACTCAAATAGTATTTTTTTACTCTGGCGTGTATTTAAAACATTTACAGCCTGAAGTTCCGCAAGTCTCTACTTAATACGAGAAAGAGGATTATCTTCGATGGCAATTTATCTCAATACGAGAGACGACTGTCCCTGAGTAGTGTCCTTGGTTCGTAAAATGTATTCCTGAACTTTTTTTAACCGGCATTTAACTAGATGTCATGTATTTCTCAAAGGAGTAAAAGAAGAGATATCATAATGGATCGGTTCGCCCTTCAGAACTGTGTCACACGATCCACTGTCAGTTAATTTTTTATTTGGAGATTGTAGACGGAGAGAAAATATCATACAATAAAGTTTGCTGAAAATTCTATACATTATATAAACGTTAGTCCGAATGAAAGTTATTATTACTATTATTATCAACTATGTGGTGTGCAAGTGGGCAAAACGAAAACAAGAAACTTTTACGAATCTACCAGGTATTTCTACATTTCATCCTTAGTTAGATTTTTGATATTACAGCTGAAGTACTAATAAGACAACTAAGTGAACTGAAAAAAATGTCTCAAGGGATGAAGGCACATACTCACCTTTACTTATATGTTTGAGTGAGGAATCAGAAAGATTCAAAATGACTACTATTACAAAGTTCTGTAATAAAAAGAAACGAATACTATTCAGTGGTTGCTGGCAGCTAGTTCACAACACTACAGAATCGTGTGATACTCATCACATATGAAAATATTGTTGGCAAGTTTTGTTCCACTTTAATGCAGCATCTGCTATGTGGACAGAGAAATTAGATTTATAGGTGTGCACTGAATTCGTGACATTAGGTGACTCACGAGTTTAATATTACATAACGATTAAATCCTTGTAATTAATATTACAATCGGTATTGTTAATACCAACTAAAATAGCTCAAATGGCTCGAGATCCTCAGTTGTGAAAAAGTCATCAGTAATATGAACTTAATCTATGTAAGCCTCATAAAGGTAAACGGGCAAATAGAGGAACCAGTAACAGCTACTACATATAATTCAGAAAACTTCCTAACCAAGAGAGATTGTGAGGATTTATTTCAAAGTTTGAAACAATTACTAAAATGATGTGAAATGTTAAATCAAATCAAATGTGCAACAACAAGAACCACTTGGGTTAATAGCTGGTTAATTTTTCACCAATCAAATCAAAGTCTGTAGGGTTACCCAAATTTATTTACAATTCCCTTAATTTTAATTAAAAAACTTCAACTCAGACTGATTTCCTTCCATTATTTTTAAATATCCAATAAATTTGTATACTAATATCAATGTACGAGAATTCAGATAATGGACTTGAAAATACTTCTGTTTAACAGTAGTCTAACACTGTCAAAGTATGTTTATACCCAAGATAAATACACTGGGTGAGGACTATAAAAGGGGGCTGTAACAAAAACAATCTTTGCCAATTCATTCTTAGGGAATGTAGTGAGAGTCAATCAAGATAAAATGAATTGTACAGTGGTTTCAAAGGTTGGAAAGGAATTGACAAGAAACCATTAAACCATCTGTAATGTTAAGTAGAAGTATAGGCCTTATTTGAATCCAACGCACACTTTTGCTAGTCACAGCGACCGAAATCGCCACCAAGTAATCTCATTTGCGAGTAACGCCTTCAAATAGTTTATATGACAGTTGGTTATTTGAATAGCAGTTACGATATAACCCAAATTATTTATACACAGTTTAGTGCATAAAAAGATCTATAAGGATCTTGAGAAATTTGACGTGTAAAGCTTTCAACTGCACAGTCTGGAGTTTTTTGAGTACAAAGTTCAGAAGCATTGTATCAAATAAAATTGTTTCCTATAAGCAACGTTCGTGAACTTTAAATTGCGGAAGAATTAAACTCTGAGCTGACAGGATGATCTAAACCAAAAACTTTGTAATGTAGTATTGTAATAGATAGACTGTTATCCACAAGGGATTTCCATGTTTATCGAACTGCTCGTCACATACCATTCAATTTATCTGTTTTTTCCACACTCACGTAACAGAAGTTTGCATTTACTCTTGAACTTCCACAATGCTTGGGCTGGTGTTTAATTATTATAATTTTTTTTTTTTGATTTACAGCTTGATTCCACACTGTATTTTTGGTACATGTATGGAATTTTCAGCATGGATATCGGTAGCCCAAATTTCGCAGGCCGACCATAGATATCAGGTGTGCGCCGGCGTGGGCTCGAACCCCGGACCATGTGCATGGTCGGCGAGAGTCCTAACCACTGTGCCACTGCTTTCAAAGAATTACTGACAGTCAACAGAAGTAATAACAGTAATGAGCACTAAATTGTGTAAAGGATAACCGGAATATTACCTTTAGCCAGTATACAGTTTTAAACAAAGTTGAATTGTAACTCATTGACTAAACCTATTTAGCACTGACCTGTAAAACTTTTACAGTACAGGTGTGGATGTTAACGAAATTATTTTCTGTTCCATTTGAAACATAAGAGATATAAGGACTCATAAAAAATAGCTTCATGCAGTCTGATTATCTACCTGACGCATGCCCAATCTACTAGGCAGATATGATTACGCTTTCTTTTGTTCACTTATAGGGTTCAAAAAACAGCCAAACCGACTTTTGGGTTTTCATCATAAGCTGATATCGGTTAGAGGACCACTAAAAAAGCTGGTAGAACTGGACAGCTGTTTCATCCTAATTTGGAACTCTTCAGCACTATGGACCCACCGGGATTCGAACCCATAGCCTCCTAGTTACAAGGCGAGCTCATTGATAATTAAATCCCTGCAAACCAACAGTTGACTATTAAGCCTTTGGATCAGTTTTATTTGATCCTGAATGTGTGGACTGAATCCTAACGGCCAGGTGTTATTTCTTTCTTGGACATTTTAGTCTGTATTAACTTAGTATTAGGTGTTTGGAAGAGTCACTCAGCTGGCAGCTGTACTGTAC